TTTTTTTGGTTCAGATGATAGAAAACAACATAATAACATAGACATGCAGTCTCTCACTCATGTACAACCACAACATCTTTCACATCAGTCTTAGATGTTTCTCAAAGTGTTTCAATCTTACTCAAAAGAAGTAATACACAATTGATTCCCCCTCTTTCTCCTCAGGGGTGAGTCTTCTCTGCTGGAGTTGAAAAAGAGCACATTCAGAAATAAAGGCTGCATCCTGTTTAAGTTTTACAATACTGTTCTCTTGTGAATGAGCAGGAAAAGCATTCTTGATGCGCAACACTCCATCAAAATCAATAAAGTCTAACTAGTGGGAATGCTTGAACAGATTCTGGAGACTATACAAGCTTTTTCCCTCTAGGCTGTCTCACACTGCGCATCCATTAACTAAATAAGGGAGATTATAAATTTAGATGGAAATGTGCAGAGGAACAGGGATAATTCAACTCTGAATCACATTACAAGTGGGTGATAACAAAAGTGACAACTTCTTATCATATTTCAGAGGCGGGATGAAAAATGTTACAATAAACCCTTTTGAGATCATTGTAAAAAAAAAAAAAAAAGAAAACACCCACACACATACAAGCTGGGTTTATGTCAACCTGTGAGGACATATGGTCCTCATAAGTATACAACCACGAGAATACACACACGTAAGGCAGACAAAAAGGACAAAAAGCCCTCATCTCGGCTCAGTGCCTGCAGTGAGGAGTGGTGGTGTGACTGAGACGAAGACCCAGTTGTGTCACTTTATAACAGTTCAGCTATCTCTCTCTCTCTCTCTCTCTCTCTCTCTCACCCTGAACCTGTCAGATAGTTGGAGTCTGTCATCTCTTGCATTCTCCCCTCTGATTCTTATTCCCCACTGGGGTTACAGATATGTACGTATACATGGCTAAAATTAGCCTTATATTTAAAGCCAGTCATCTGACCAGAGTGGACCGTCATTTCCTACATCACTATAGTGGAGACTGTTGATATGGAAAAACATACAAGAGAAAAAGATATGGTGTGTACATGGTTAACCTGATATTAATATCATGTGTCTTGTATGCTCTTTTTGTGCTGACTAGGTTTTTTTATCCACACTTAAAAACACACATGGATGCTTCAAGTAGCCTAATATGACAAGAAAAGATGCAGGTTAGAAAGCAAAAGGAAGAGGGTTGTTATTTGGCTTTGATGGCGACAGTGAGCAAAGGCAGACTAGCTTAAATGTTTTTGGGTTACCAGGTAATGCCGGAGTATTTTGCTCATCTCTCAAACACATCATTGGCTGCTAATTTAATTTTTGTTTAAAAGAAGATAGCGGGACAATGTTGGACAGCACTGAGAAGAGGTAAATACTAAAATATAAGAGTATTGTCCATCACAGTGATTCCCAACCCTACTCACTGCCTTTGACTGCTTAGAAAAGGTCAAATGGGGACACATGTTCCCATGTGGTCCAAAAAGGTTTGGGCTGATTGACCAAAAAATAATATTTAAGACAAAAAATTGTCCACACTATTAGCTCCTTAAAACACAGAGTGTTGAGACTCCTCACAGACCCCTCCCAAAATAACCTAGCGTTTGATCCCCCCTGACAGATTTGGCTAAGTGGAGCCTGGCGTTACCTACGGCAAGTCAAGTCTCCTCCTCCTCCTGCTTCACCTCCTCCTCCTCCTCTCTTCCTTTGACTAACAGATCTCCCCCAGTGTTCTAAAAATATCAGGTGAACAGGGCCGCAGAGATGGTGATGAAACTGCCTCTCTGACACTGTCCCACTGCAATCCATCTCTCTACCGCCTGCCAGCCAGCATATGTTTGCAATTGGCTCCCCCAAACAACCTCTGTTGCCTCTCAACCCTCCCCACCCCATCCCCTCACCCCCCGCCCCCCCTCCACTGGTCCCCAGTTGCCAGCTCAGATGCCCCACTCACATGTTTCCCCATCCTCTCCCTACCCCTGTCTCTCTCTCTCCTTCAGCTATCGCCCTAGTCTTCAGGTCTGGGCGTTCAAAACCAGTGCAGTTATCAATCTTTAAGACCGGCACTGTCACGTCGGACCAAACCACTCACACACACACACACACACTCCCTCTCGTTCTCCTTTTCCTTCCTCCTTTCTACCTTCTATCTCCTCTCACTAGCCATCTCTTTTTCATCCCACCTCTCTCCCTCTCCCCTCTGTCTCCTCCTCCTCCTCTTTTCTCCTGCGTCCTCTGCCTCCTCTCTTTTACACTTGCCCAAATTTGTTCCACTTAATAAGCCCTCCCCAATGACCTTGTGCTAATTAAGCTGCACTGTGTTGGAAATATGATGGTTAATTAATGATGAGATAAATTCTGTCTGCAGGACTGTCAGGAAAATGATGACACCGTGTTTTACAGGTTTAAATAGAACAAACCTTGTGGCTGTCCTCCCCTCTAGTGCAAGGCGGTGTGTATGCTCGTGCACGTATGTACGGCAGGCATGTGTTTAAGTGTGCATGAACAAGTGTAATAAAAAAAAGGGATGGAGGAATCTTCCTTTTTGATGACAGTTTGCAAGAATGTTAATGTACAGTTTGTGTTTATGCATGACTTTAACTTTAAACAGGTGTATAAAACATGGAGTGACATTATGTATAGTACTTCCATGTGAATGCGTGTGTGATGTAACAATGATGTGTGGAATAATGCTCTATGGCTGAGCAGAGAGACTGGACACTGAGCCGTATTACACTGAGTGCATTTCCACGGTTTGGCCAATCATGGTGATTGGCCATTGGTTGCTGGTCTGTGTTAATGTGAAAGTCATTTTGTCGCACAAGTGTCAAATGTGTTTGGATTTGTCACCCTGAATTGGCTCATGATTAAAAAAACATCCATGATATTTTGCATTGTAACCAGATGAAGTCTGCTTGTAATTAAGAGTGTAAAACACATGGATCATAAAAGGTAGAATAAGGGCCAGAGCGCACCTATGACAGCTAGAGAGTGATCTGAACCGGCCTGCAGCACTGCTTGTTCTGTTCATTGTAGGTACGACGCCAACAATGCAAAACTGAGGAAGATATTTAATGGAAATTGTTTATGGTCTGAGCAGAAGAGCTTCCTTCGAGGATCTATTTGGAATATAGAAAGTTGCAGAAAATAAGTGATCTTAAGAATTTCGGTAAAACTTCATTACCACGGGTGATATTCAAAAAACAACTTTTTCAGCTTTAAACATGCTCTTCTCTCCTGGGTATTGTTGTTGGCAAACATGGTTTAATGTTACATCCTTCATATAAAAGTGTTTCTACTGTGTTGGTTTGTAAAAAGAGAAGCACATCAAGTAATGTTCGCTCGTTCACTTCTGCATTCAACACTGTGCTGTTGTCTGTAAAGCTCGTAAATACCTCGTGTCATTGCAGTTGGCCTCGCATTGTACAAATGAATTCTGATATGTTGCCTGCAGACTCTGTCCAATACAACCGCAGAACTTCACCACACACCACGGACTGAGAGAGTTGTAGTTGAAACATTACTGGCCAATCAATGATTAAGTTCCAAATGAAGTTTGAGCAAAATAAAGCAGGACATATTTTTTTTGCCTTTATTTGCCGAGGTCGGTTTCAAACCCACGGCCACCGTGACAAGGACTACAGCCTCTGTGCATGGGGAGCACAACATAACCACTAGGCTACATGCGCCCGAAACAGGAATTGTTTGACCAGAGTTGTTTAAACACTTATTGGTATTTGATTATCTCAGGTGAATACTGTCATCAAGGCTTTGTGCCTTAACTATTTCACATCACATGTCCCTGTTTCCTTTTTTTTAGTTCACTATGCTCGGTTAACAGGAAAGGTGTTGACTTTGTCTATGGGGAGACATAGGAAAGCAAAAGAAGCCAACACAAGTTGTTTTTGTTCCCCGAGTATTCTTTTGTGGATCGGTTTCTCTTTTAAATGCCAGATAGAAAACGTGTTCGACCGAGAAGGTTTTATGTTCAAGTCTTAACCAAGTGAGTATTCAAGTAATGTTGCTAAAGCATTGTATGGAGCTCTGTCAGCTATCCTCGGATAAATAGCGGCCAAAAATAAATAAAAAATGTGTCGAAACAGAAAGTTGACACAGTTGAGGATATTAGAATTTGTTTCCATCTAATGCAGATGAACAGCTGACAGTAGGAATTTAGTGGATAACGTGTGAGAGATGGAGAGGCATCTGGTCGGGCTGCTCACTTCCATATCTGAAGCCACTTGTCATTTCTAATACCACATGTTGTCAAAAGTATCAATTTTGGTTGCGCAGTAATGAAAAAGCGGGTCTGTTTCTATTTTAGCAGCTCACTTGACAGATTGAGAGGTGTTTAGCGTCTCGTTTTGGCTTGTCAGGGTGGGGGGGCTGGAGGGAGGGAGCGGGGGGCTTCACAACTTCATCTCCTCATCTTTCTCTTTCACATGCATACACAACTCACACACTGACAGCAGGGCTCTGCTTCTGATAGACAGGGCCAAGCGGGAGACATTACACATACACCGAAAGACACGCACACACACACACGCCCGCATACGCAGACTAAAATGGTAAAAGAAACATCATTCATCCTTAATTCAAGAGGGAGAGCCGAAAGTAAGATGAGGGAGGGAGGAAGATAAAGTTTGACAGAAAAAAGGGATGTAAGCAAGAGACTGAGACAGACGGACTGAGTGAAAGCCATTTAACTCATTAGGGAAAGGGAGGATCTCGAGTTATATTTAACTTGAAATTTACTGTAATTAGTGGGGAGTTTTTTTTTCTTTTTCTTTTCTAAATAACTCGCAGACCTCCACATGGGTTGTGAGAGTAATCCTTGAAAATCTAGAATTAATTGGCATGCTGAAGCTTTCACTGTAGTCTCCTGAAAACACGCTTACACACTTGACAGTTAAGAATCAGGATGGGGGGAAATGTATTTGAATTTGAAAACGTGTGTTTCCTTTTTGGACTGTACAGCAGGTTTCAGGTTGAAGGGCTAAAGGTTCAGTAGTGTTTTATTTACCTCTCTTTACGCTGGCCGACTCCATGTTTTCCCAGCATGTGGGTGCTGAGGTGCTTCTTCATCACAAAGGCCCATCTACAAAAAACACAAAAACAGAGAACCTGGGTTAATCAAAGAGCAAATATATCAAGCTACAACACACAAGACGACAACGTCTGGAACAGCTCCGTCTCTTCGATTGTTTCTAGATTTGCTTGAAAAGGTAGAGACAGCGTTCCTAATATGGTGACCACCAATGTCAGGCTTCATAATGGCCCACTAAAAAAAACAATGGTGCGACGTCACTCTGACTACGTCCATGATTGATAGAGTCAAAGAACAACACATATGAAGAGAGTTTTCCAGAGGAGTTGGACCATTGTGTTTGTTCTTCTGCTGCTTATTTTGAGAGAATTTGAAGCTTAAACGCATCACCACAAAACATGTGTGCAGAACAAAAAAAGTCTTTCAATGATTAGAAGAGAAGGGCGGGAGGATGTGAAACTGGAAGACAGCCTGCAATCATGTGTAATGAAATGAATGAATTACAGTTAACATTGAACAGTAAAACAGAAGAGATGCTGTCTTTGTTTTGGTAAGTCGTCTTTTTTTGTGTTTTTTTTACTTCAGGAAAACCAATCTGACATTGAGTTTTCAAATGCAATCTGTCAAACAGCTTTTGGGTGGAAGAACTATTGTTCTTATAATAGATGACAGACCTGCTAAACAGACACTTTTATTAAATATATAAAAGTGCTGCACCACATGAGGAGTATAAAGTTTGATGATGTTTGTTTAACAGGCACCTTTTTGGGTCAGACACCAGAGTGAGAATGAAGCCAAAGAGTTCCACATGTTGAACATCAATGTGTCAAACAAGTATGTACACACGTGCAACGATTCAATGCATGCAGCTGCACGCAACACGCAGTCAGAAATACCCGGGTACAACGCATAGAGGGTGACCACAATGTCCCGACTTTGTCGAGGGCCCTGAGTTTACTGCGTCTCTTAAACAGCATCTGAAAACATAATGAACGGATGACAGGACTAACTACTCTGACATCCAAGCTGCTTCACCAGTGTTTTCATCCCCTGGCCTTTTCATTTAGCACCCATCACTTCCCATTATTGTGCAGCTGAGAGACAATGACCACATCTGAGCGCTGAGGATGGAGCTACATGAAAGAGGCCGAGGGAGATGAAGCAACAGCCATGCGGTTGGCACTGTCACTGCACACGCTCAGATCCTCCTCCGTGTAGCTCCTCCCATTTTCTTCTTTTTTTTTCCCCCCTCTTATGGAGGTTTTCACTTTAGTTTCTTCCAAGTCGATCATTATTCTGTTTTTCTCTCCAGGCAAGCCCGTCTGGGCCTTTTTCTCCTAACATTAGGAGTCATTCTTTCATGAAGCAAAAGCATAATTATTTCACCATTTATGTCACCATGTCAGCTTTCGCCCCTTCTCAACCTCCGACGTCTGGACTCACACACGCTCGGCTGTGTTCCTCCATCCCATCATGGCCCCCAGAGTCCCGGCCGTCATAGAGGCCCCTGAGGCCCGCTCTAACTAAGACCACCATATAAATATTCAAACATGTTCCGCTGTTTTGCCCCACTATCATCACTCTACATTTTCTCAATCCTCTCTAACTCAATCCATCCAGCCGTCCAGAATGTTGCCCCCAAGTTTAACTGGGAGCAACAGTAAGACTAAATCTTGTAAAGTCCAATCAGGGAGAATGGCAAGATCAAAATGCTGAGCTGCTCAGGCCCACTGGAAGCTGTCTCTGACTGACGGCATCATCTATAAATAAACAACCAGCATAATTAAGACATTTCTGAGAGGGCGGGGTAAAATATTTAATCAATACATTTGAGAGAAAAGAACGGCCTCCAAACACTTCATGCGTGCTTGTTTAAGTCGTCGTGTTTAGACGCGGGGAAAAAAGAAGCTTGCAAACATTTCTGTTAATTATGTATTACAGCTGTCCTTCATAAACCTAATTACAGAGTGCTGAAAGGCAACAGGGGCAATTTGCATATGCGCATGAAAGACAAGACATATGCAAAATATGATTTTAATTAGCATTCTTTGATAGCGAGGGGTACAAATCAAACTGGCATGTTGTGAGATTCTCATCTCGCCCGCTTTTTTTTTACAAGATTATTCTCAGAGTGGCACGAGTGCAAGATGGGTAATGCCCCGTGGAGACACCTGGCACAGACTGCACACACACACACACACACACACACACACACACACACACACACACACACACACACACACACACACACACACACACACACACACACACACACACACACACACACACACACACACACACACACACACACAACTGGGAGGTTATATTCACTGAAATGCTAAATAACAGCATGCACAGATTCAAATAAGTATCAACAAATGGAAAAATCTGAATACCCATTTTGCACACAAATGGTGATGATAACACATTTCTAATTAGCTATGAATATCTAATTCACCATTCCTTACAATGTTTAGAAGAAAAACAAGCAGACGTCAAACACACAGAGAGAAATATAGACTGATAGAAATTCAGACAAATGACAGTCCTTACTCACAGAAACAGACATCCACAAGTAGCCCATCTCTCATGTACACACACACACACACACACACACACCAACACACAGAAAGATCCCATATCTAAATGTTAAAGGGGCAAATCCATTTGTTTAAGGCAGTGTGTAATCAGCCCCCTGCCCTTGGTGTGTGTGCATCCTCCACCATCCAGGTCAAGGCCTCAGCTTGTCTTCCTGCTGCCTAGGGCTGCATCATCAGCCCGGACCATCAGCCTTGATGGTTATTGTAACAAAGGGATACTTTAACATGCCATTCATCCATATCAATTCTCTTCCCCCCCATGAATTGAACTAATAAGGCTGTGCCTCTGCCCTCCAGGGAGGCTCATAATATCCATTGCAGATATGATAAAAAAGAAAAGGAAAAAGAAAGACGGAGGCTCTGGTGTTTCACGTTCGACTTTCCCTTCAGACTAATCGGCGCGCCACAGCTCGTTAGGTCCGTGACGTGCCGGAGCTTTACCGATAAGCAGGGGAGACACGGCTCAATTACCCACAGTTACAATCTTTCTCTCCCCCCCCCCCCCCTCCCGCCGCCCGATGATGAAGAGATAACATGTCAATATTTGATACAAACAACTTCATTTGCCTAATGGTGTTCCTGGATAGGCCCATCTACAGGTCCGGAAGGGATGGGAGATCTAAGAAAAAGGCCGTGAGCAACGCTCAGCTTAGACGCACCGTACCCCAACACCCCTCACGTCACGCACACCCCATTCCCCAGAGCTGTGCAAAAGGCATGCTGGAAAAGATTCAGGTTAAACTTGACATACTTTACAAACTTTAGTTGCTATCCGTTGATACGTCCGGTTTTTAATAATCGACCTTATAAAGTCAAATAGAACGAGTGACCGTCTTGTTAATCTTAATCCTGACACTTCTGCACTCATACTACAAGCTATCAGGAGCAATGAAGTCAAGTTTTTATGATGTCATGATAAGTTATTTTGATACCAATACTGGCGGCCTACACTGATACTAGAAGCTGTGTGGGCCTATGACACTGCCTAAAAGCAATAATGTATATTGGCAATAACGCCAAAAAATTGACAAACAAACAACAACAGTGTGGTGATTACTAAGAGTTTAATATGAGCCAATACTAAAATATCAGCACTCTGTAACCCCTTATACAAGATCAAGGCAGAATATTAACACCCCTGTTTGACCTGTTTCCAGTTGATGACGCATCAAGGTGGAATTGTGGGGCAAAGTCGTTCAGCCACTGAGTAGTAGGAACACACAGTGATGTGTGTGTGTGTGTGTGTGTGTGTGTGTGTGTGTGTGTACATGAAGTTCCAGCCGTTTATTCACAAATCAGGTGTTTTATGCTTCTGCAACACTGTAACGCAATACTGAATCCAAACACTAGATCCCAAATATGAACCTGCAGCAGATTCAAAATACAAAAACAGAATAACTCTATAGCTTTGTTATGGAACTGTAAAAAGGCTTGGGTTTTCCATGGATGTTTTTATCGCACTAGTATAGGAAGGGTACTCTGCATCGACCTATAATAAAGTCTAGGTATCAAAAATTTGTATTTAGAAGCAAATGTGGTATCTGAACATCAATTAATGGATGTGATGTTCTGTAATAGGAAGCACTTGATGCCCTGAGTGATGGACTGTCAATGTTCAATCCAATGGAACTTCTAGATTGGTATAAACAGATAATATCAGTTATTGTTATTTTCTTCTTCTTGTGGCTCAGTGGAAGAGTCGGTCGTCTTCCAACCCGAAAGGTCCAGGGTATCATTCCCCAGCTCCAGCCACATGTCCAATGTGGGGCACCTAAAGACACTTAACCCCAAGTTGCTCCCACTGCTTTGTCAGCGGCATGTGAATGTGTATGAATGTGTTAAGTTACTTCTGATGGTCACTTTAAATAGCAGCCTCTGACATCAGTGTGTGCACGTGTAGGTGTGACCAGCTGTGAAAAGAGCTTTGAGTAGTCAGAAGACTAGAAAAGAACTATAAAAGCTCAAGTCTTATTTACCCAAATTAGGATTTTCAAACCACTGTGTTTTCTAACAATGGTTTTAGATTATAGAGGACAGTTGGCACAATTCCTTATCCTTTATTCCCCCCTTTAAACATCCAGCTTACTTCCTGCTGTGCGCCTTTACAAAGAACGCAACATAGTAAAAGCTATGAGGTGAAAAATTAAGCTGAAGCCGAATAAACTTCTGAATTGTGATTGGCTAAAAGGTAAGTGAGAAACCATTAAGAGAAGGCTAACAGATGTAAGAACTGCTGAAGCCTTTATCTGGTGAAGCCGGTGGAAGCTGGTGATGGAGAGGGGTTTCCATGAGGGAAAGATGAAAGTGGGGGTTGGGATGAGCTCGGAAGTTATGGGACCATGCTTCAGCTCTTTTGTGAGAAGAAACACACACACACACACACACACACACACACACACACACACACACACACACACACACACACACACACACACACACACACACACACCA